GTTTTGGGTCGAAAACTGTAAGAGAAACAAAGTACAAAAAAACCATGACGAAATCACACTGCGGCAGCAGAGTTACGTAGCCAAGCCCTAATATGTTGGCTGTTGCAAAATGGCCTGCTAATAGATAGTTAACGGTTTTCAGCCGACTAAAAGTCAATTTTTTCGTTATGTAGTTAACAACCTATACTGATAAGTTATTAAATGTCAAATTGACATGGGAACCTGTTATATGATTAGCAATACTATTATACACAAAAATTGGACTTTCTCCTTCACATGAAAAATCGAAAAGTTCTTGTAACACCAAAAATGCAACAAAAAACCACAATATTGGTGAAATGGTTAGATTGTTTTTGAAATTTCGTGAAATGAGATTGTCAATATACAGATTTATATTAACGCTCACACAGCTTCCAGTATTAATATCAGTTATTGTACTCTCATTTTTCTATTTTTTCGTATACATATATTTCCTTATTGATACGTCGTTGTTTTTTCAACAAAATCGTTTTGTTTTAAATAAGAAAACTTTATGAAAGTAATACGTTCTCTGTCGGATTAATAGTTGAAACTGATTATATAGTTGTGTAAAAGAAACGATTTGAAAAAACATGTGCTCTTCAATTATTGATGAAGAAATAATCAAGACACATGTCATCTTTTTTCATATGTGAGTTAAAACGACCTCTCTGCACGTATGTCGTTATGATTAACATGAATGTCGTATAATTGAGAACTATTCAATTTCAGAACAGCAAAATAAACCACTCATAGTGAAAAAGTCTCCATTATAATTTCTTTCTTTGTATTGATATAATTTATGTAATTGGGCAGAATATGAATTGAAGAGTTTCTTTTTTGTCATCGTTCATTTTGAAAAAATAAAAGCAACTCAACTGTTAAAGTTAATATCGAGAAAAGTTCATTACTTTATTTATAATGTCCACCTGTTTTGGAAGCATCTTTGTCAGTTTCACTATATTGGCTCTTTTCATAGTCATTCTTTGATTTTTATCACTTCAATTTAATACTATTTTAAAAGCAGCGGCGTCTATCCCCACCTAAGGAGTTGAGGCTTTGTGTACCACCTCAGAGATTCGAGCCTTTTTTCGAGCCACATGGAAAATTAATTTTTACAGCAAAAAAGCGTCCCACTCTACTTTAGTTTGAGGCATCGTGCATCAAACGTCCCACAGGATAGACGTCCCTGCTTAAAAGGCTTGTTTAAAACCGCTCGTACTGTTGATCATTTCTGGATCCGCCACTGTCGGCTATCTACCACTAACAAGAAAAAATTTCAATTATCCCAATTTTTTATTAGAAAGAAATTGAGCTTGTAGGTTTTAGACAACTTTTTCATTGTTTTAAGAAAAAAAAAAGTATTCTAGAGAGAAATTATAGACAACCGAGAAAACGGGGCATTAATATTTGAATTTGTAACCGATTATACTATACTGCGAACAGCAACAAATATATATATAGTAAACAATTAACAATAACGATAATATAAGATAGAAAATAATTGTGCATTATTATTATTAGTATAGTTACTTTCCTCTATTCTTTTATGTATTATTATTTCTTAACCAAAACATTTTCGTTGTATTAACACCCAATCTAGGACGCACCATAGTAGAAAAAAGTCGAGCATAAAATAAAGAACAAAAGCACAAGACAAATGCACAAGACATTTTCCTTTTTTCCTCTACATTTTTCTTTCTTGCTGTAGAGTAGAAAAAACGCCATGCTTTTCGGATTGTTATGCTCCTTAACCATTATAGACATATTTTTTTGCGTGTTCTGTTTGTGTGAAATAAACTGCTGCTAAAAACTCAATCGTTTCTTTTTTTCTTATTGATGTAAACGTTTGTTTTCTTCGTCGAAAGGTCCTAATCGGCTTAGCCATGTAACTCTGCTACCGCAGTGTGATTCAGTCACGGTTTTTCTGTGCTTTGTTTCTCTTACAGTTTTCGACCCAAAACACTTCCAGGGCTCTGAAACATCTGAAGTTGAAGAGAAAAGTATGATCAATATTTTGACATATTCCCGCAGTAGTACTTTGTATTTTTACAATATTTCCTAAACAAAAGAACGTGTGGAATATGGGAACAGACTGTACTACTTTTCTTTTTGGTTTCGATAAAATTAGCTGCTTTATAAATAAAAACACTACATGGAAAATGCGCACTATGTAAGATCTAATTAAACGATACAGATCGATAATTCGTAAATGTTTTAGAATAAACATGTCAGCTGTACCGAAAAAACCTGAGTCAGCTAAAGACAGACGAAAACAAATTAGTATACGTGGATTACCATTATTAGAAAATGTAGCAGCAGTAAAAAAAACGTTTAATCGTCATTTACATTTTACAATTGTCAAAGACCGAAATGTAGCGACAAATCGAGATTATTTTTCTTCAGTTGCACACACTGTTCGAGATCATCTTGTTGGAAGATGGATTCGAACACAACAACACTATTATGATACAGATCCTAAAGTAAGAAAGTTGAAAAGAATGTATTGGTATCACAATTTTTCTACAACAACTTAATTTCTATTTAGCGTGTATATTACTTGAGTTTAGAATATTATATTGGTAGAAGTCTATCAAATACAATGATTAATCTTGGAATCGAGAGCGAAATGGATGAAGCTCTCTATGAGGTAAACAACAGTATGATTTAGTAATAATTCTTTTTCTGCAGTGTCGATATTCTTTGTTTTCAGTTAGGTTTATCTATAGAAGAACTGGAAGAATTTGAAGAAGATGCTGGTTTGGGCAACGGTGGTTTGGGACGTTTGGCAGCATGTTTTCTCGACTCAATGGCTACTTTGGGACTCGCTGCATATGGTTATGGCCTTCGGTAGATTTATTTTTATTAACTCATATCCTCTCTGAATGTTTTTCTTCTCAGCTACGAATATGGTATATTTCAACAAACAATCAAGGATGGTTTTCAGTGTGAAGAGCCAGATGATTGGTAATTGTACAATTGTAAAATAATTAGTGCAATTTCACTTTGAAGTGATTATACATTGCTATTTCCTTTAATTTAGGTTACGTTATGGAAACCCGTGGGAGATTCCAAGACCAGAATATCAAATTCCTGTTAATTTATATGGTCGTGTAATTGAAGAAGATGGACTCAAGAAATGGATTGATACACATGTTAATATCTTTGAAATGATAATTTGTTTCATTATTAATTCTCTTTTTATTTCATGTAGATTATTATGGCGATGCCTTATGATACTCCAGTTCCTGGTTACAACAACAATGTTGTCAATACACTGAGATTATGGTCGGCTAAAGCTACGAAAAAATTCAATTTTCAATTTTGTACGTTTTTTTTAAAGTATTGCTGAATTTAATCATAAAAAATTCGTTGTTATTATTTCAATTATAGTTAATGATGGTGATTATATGAATGCAGTGAGCGAACAAAGTTTGGCTGAAAATATAACCAGAGTATTATATCCAAATGACAATGTATGCAACTAATAAACTTCTACTAGTTTTCTTGTGTACGTAAAACGCCTTGTACGGTGTTCTTCTGTACTGGACTGATCATTCATCGACAAAAAGTTTTGAGTTAAATATTTCGGAAGATTAGGGGCCATTTCTTGTTTTTACTTTATTTACTAACTCTATTAGCGAACAAATTTGGGATGCCAGTTTAAACTAAAATAATCAAAATTCTCTAGCGACATATTGATCACGAATGTAATACTAAACAGATTTCTGATGAACTTTCATTTCATAAGTAACATGAAACAGTTTGAAATACTGATGACATATTTCATTTTGTCTTGTGTGTTTCTAGTATCAAGAAGGAAAAGAATTACGATTGAAACAAGAATATTTCCTTGTAGCTGCAACACTCTGCGACATTATTCGACGTTTTAAACACTCAAAATTTGGTGTACAAGATTCGACCCGAACAAGTTTTGATACATTTCCAGACAAGGTGAATTATATTTTTAAGGGTACTCTCTTCCTCATTTTTTTCTTGTTACAAAATTGTAGCGACTGATCAGACAGAGTTAGATTTTTTACCAGAGTATCTTCTCGAAAAATAAAACAGACATGTATTGTACTCAGACCTTTGAACTCATTTGTTAGTGTGGTTTCCTGGAAAACAAGATTTTTCATTGCGTACCGATACCGTCGAAACTTTGTCCGTTCGAGGTCAAAATTTTACCATAGTACTACGCTCCATATGCCCAGGTGTTTTTCAAGTCTTTTCTCTAAACCTTAACCTTGAGATTTTATAAGAACATTTTGTAGTGAATCGGATTTTGCTTTTGTGGCTCCCAAAATCAGCCATCCTTCCTGTGAAGAAAATATGCTTAAATCGAAAAACACCTGCGCGTATGTAACCTAGTACCTACGGTAAAATTTTGAGCTCGAACGAACAAAGTTTCGATGGGATCGGTACGCAATGAAAACTTGGTTTTCCAGGAAAACACACCTACAAATGAGTTCTAAGGTCTGAGCCAAAAATATGTCTGTTTTATTTTTTGAGAAGCTACTCTGACGAAAATTCTGATTCTGTCTGACCGGTCGCTACGATTTTGTAACAAGAAAAAAAATGAGGAGGAGGATATTCTTAAAAAGAATTTTTCTAATTGTTTTTCTATCAGGTCGCTATTCAACTGAACGATACTCATCCAGCATTAACAATAGCTGAATTAATGCGCTTATTTCTGGATGTTGAGATGTTGTCATGGGATGTAGCCTGGGATATCACAACACGCACATGTGCTTATACAAATCATACTCTAATGCCGGAAGCTGTTGAACGATTACCAGTTTCAATGTTAGAAAAATTGTTGCCAAGGCATTTACAAATTATTTATGAAATTAACTATCGTCATTTACAAGTATGTTAACGATCTCGTTTATGCCTTCTGAATATGTTTCAATCAATATTCATTTTGTTACAGGAAGTATCTAAACGATATCCTGATGATTTTGATCGTCAACGAACTTTGTCAATTGTTGAAGAAGGTGGTGATAAACGTATTAATATGGCTTATTTAGCAATAGTTGGATCTCATGGTACTGGAGTCAAAATATCACTACAAGATATTAAATAAAATAGTCATTCATGTTTCTTTTAGTTGTAAATGGTGTGGCTAAAATTCATTCAGAACTTCTTAAGACAACTTTGTAAGTCGAAAGAACGTAGTTAATGTACATCTCAACTACAATATTGTTGATTGTTATGTGCACTATTTTCAGGTTTAAAGCATTCTATGAGTTAACACCCAATAAATTTCAAAATAAAACAAACGGTATAACGCCTCGACGTTGGCTGGTGCTTAGTAATCCAAATCTGTCTGATGCAATTGCTGAGGTAATCTCAACTACTAATGTCGATGCTGCTTATAGTGAAATTTTATGACTAAGCACAAGAAACTTCAAAATCTTGACATCTTGATTATTTATATTATATAAAGATCTTACTGGAAAAAACTTAGATCAAGATTTTTACTAAAACTTTTCCCCAGGGATTCTACTAATTTTTTCTTTTTTTTTACGTTTCTGTAGAAAATCAATGAAGACTGGATAACAAATCTCGACGAATTAAAAAAACTTCGTGAGTTTGTTAATAATGAAGCATTTGTCAGAGATATTCAACGTGTTAAACAAGTATAAATAAGAAAATTATACACTTAGACAATTAACACTATTAAAAATAATTTTTTCTTTCTAGGAAAATAAACATCGTCTAGCTGAATGGTTAGAAAAAGTATATCATGTTCAAATAAATCCACTATCAATATTTGACATGCAAGTAAAACGTATTCATGAATATAAACGGCAATTATTGAATGTTTTACACATAATTACAATGTTTAATCGTATCAGACAAAATCCTCAAGGCAATTATGTACCACGAACAGTGATGATTGGTGGAAAAGTAAAAGATTAAATGTTAAGGCATATTTAAAAAACCTAATAAATGTTTTTCCTCTTTGAGGCTGCACCTGGGTATCATATGGCGAAAAAAATTGTCAAATTAGTTAATAATGTAGGAAAAATAATTAACAATGACCCAATTATGGCTAATCGATTGAAAGTGATATTTCTTGAGAATGTAAGTAATTGATTATAGTTACTGGAAATCGTGTTTCTGATCATTTTATCTGTAATATTTCCAGTATCGTGTTACAATGGCCGAACAAATCATACCAGGTTCGTTTACAATTAAAGGATGAAGTATAAAACTACTGAGATCACGTTGAACATCTTTTTATTGAACAATATACATCTGAATCAATGATCTGATTTTATTATCCTTCTTTTTATATTTCAGCTGCTGATTTATCCGAACAAATTTCGTTAGCTGGAATGGAAGCTAGTGGAACATCGAATATGAAATTCATGGTATATAAAAATTATTTTCACCCTTTTTTCAAAACAATTAAAAAATATTTTTGTATATTTCAAGTTAAATGGCGCTTTAACAATTTGCACGTTGGATGGTGCTAATGTTGAAATGGCTGAAGAAGTGGGAAATGATAATATTTTCATATTTGGTATGACCGTTGACGATGTCGAAAAACTAAAACGAGAAGGGTAAATGAATTTTTTCATTAGAAATAGCGTTATGCAATTTAGATTTTTTCTATACCTTTAGTTATTGTGGTCGTAATTATTATGAAAAAAATGCCGAATTAAAACAAGCAATTGATCAAATTCAATGTGGTTTCTTTTCACCGGAAGATCCAGCATTATTTCAAGATATTGTTGATAGTTTACTAAGAAATGATGGAGATCAGTAAGATTATCAAAGCTTGTTTGATAGATAATTTATCTAACTTTTCTCTTTCAGTTATATGTTACTGGCCGATTACGAAGCGTATATTGCATGTCAGGAACGCGTAAACGAACTATATAAGGTAATCGTATAAGAAGTAATTGAAGAATAATTTTTACTTCTTCACGAACTTTCTTTCTGGTTTTTTGATGACGGATGACGAGCGGTCTTCACAAAGTTGCTTGTTTCATGCCTATATCTAATAAACTTTCGATATCTAATTAAATCAGATATTGAGAATATTAATAGTTTCTACTTTTTTTTTTCACATAGGGAAGTACTTAATGTCCTACTTCTTTCTCTTTCAAGGATCCACATGCTTGGACAAAGAAGTGTATTTTAAATATTGCTGCATCAGGAAAATTTTCTAGTGATCGTACAATCGCTGATTATGCTCGAGAAATATGGAATGTTGAACCAACGTTACAAGCACTGCCACATCCCCACGAAGGCAGACCAGGTACACAATATGAAGGTGAACATATTAATGAAAGACATCAACATCAACATCACAATCAACATCAAGAAAAATAAATCAAAAAAGATAAACTCTCTCAACTACTGGATTCTTTTTATTTGACGTAGAATGCTGTTAGATTTACCATTATTTTCTTTCTCAATTGACCCCTAGTCTTTCCATTTTATCCTTTTGCCTTTGTATTTGTGTTCTATTCCAAATATTTTATTAAAGTCTTTTAATTTTTCTTTTGTATAATTATTTGATGACTTTTTTCGTTCTAGTTTACTTTTTAGTAGACATAATCATAACCATAAAAGTAAAAATAAAATGTTCCATAGAAAGTATTGATGAAATACGCAGTTGTCATTGCTAATAAACTTCAAAGTTTTAGAAAAATTAGATGTAATAATAATTTTGAAATTAATAAATAATTCTTATCACCATTAATCTTCTTCTAAATATACGAAAAATGTATTCTCGTTTTCTAAACATAAAATTTTTATTGAATATTAAAAATTATCAGTTGTCGCTATTTCGTAGCTTGGTGGTGGTGGTTCCTCTGATTTTATATTAGAATTATATGTCCAAGAATTATGGTTTTCAAATTTTCTGTGTTCATTTTCCTTATAATCAAAGTGTCTAATATTCCATTGACATGGTAGATGTGTTCGTAGATTGTCACTGATATTTTCATTGCATAAATCGTTTGAACAACGACTATCTTCATCATTACTATTTTCATCATCATTCAAGTTATGTTGAACTCTTGATGTTTGATGATAAATATCATTTTGTGGATTTAAAGTTATTGAAAGACAATTTTTTGATATTGATGATACCTACAGAATAGAACAAGAACAACAACAACTTGATTTATTGATAAAAACTCAAAAATATCTTACCTGTTCATCTGTTTTTTGTTTAAATAATTTTTTCTTTGATATTTTTTTAATTTTAACATTTCGTTTTGGTATATTCGATGTTGATAAACTAATAACTTGATTATAGGACTTTTGTTCATCGTCTGCAAGAGGTAATGATTGTTCAGATTCAAATATTTTAGATTTTAAACTATATGATAATAAATACTTTTGTTTTCGTCTTAATGAATAACGTCTTGTACATTCGACAATACATGCAATCAAAACCGATAGAGTAGGTAATGCAATGAACAAAAATATCACATAGACGAATACACTTGACATATTGTCTTTGGAGAATACAAACTAAAACCCGTAGAAAAAAACCGTAATCAAAACATAGCTCAAAAAAAACACAATTTCATCTTTAAGTTAGAAAAAACGAAAAAAAAATTTTTTCTAAAATACTCAGTATATCATTTGCAAATCAATATTGTATAATGATATTCGATTATTATACTTATCTAAATAAGTGTCTTTTGTTCGCTGTTCAGTACTTTCTCATTAAAACTTGTTTCAAAACAAAAAATATTGTATTTATTTTGATTCTAACTTTTTCATGCGCTGTTTTGTACAAGATATCAAAAAGTATAGTGCCCATCTCTTCCCGAAAATCTTTCTCTGATATTTACACGTACATTAAACATTTATCAAAAAACATTCCATTTTCATATAAGACTTTAAAAAAAAGGAAAATGACAACCCTACGTTCTCTTTATTAAATTTCGCTACTCAAATTCCTGTGTATCATGAAAAATAAAAGCACAGAATTATTTACTTATCAAAGAAATTGTGATTTAATTTGAAAATTCAAATCTTTTGACATTCTTTTTTTAATTCAATCCACTTTAAAGAGCCATTTTCTCGTTGAATTTGTTTATAAAAAAACCTTCAACTAGTATAATCGAGAACGTTTCAAGAAGAAGAGAAGAATACTAGATAGTTGAATTGTGAATTTTTAGACAAAAAAGAATATTTGAAAAAAGAATCTGCGCTGTGTATACGAGTAACAATATGACAAAACAGATATCATATGAAAATTATAAATCTATGATGGTGGTGATCTCTGAGGATCGAATTTTCTTTTTCTTTCATTTACCTTTTGATGTTCAAGAAAGAGAAATCTAACAATAGAAAAGAAAACATATTTTTTCGTATATTAGTATTGCATATTAATAATCTATCATGTGTCCTACCTAATTTATTAATATTTGTACTTTTCTTCTTGCTCACACATGATAAAAGAGCGTAGGAGTGTAGTGTAAAATTTTAATTTAAACAAAAACAGATTCTTGTTTTGAACAACCTTGAACGACAAGGTTAATAATACATTTTATGTCATTCTTTAAATAAAAAAAGAAAAAAATACTTGTCTTTCCTTTTATTCTTTTTATTTTTTTTATTTTTTTTTGGATTGTCTCTGTTGTTATTATATGATGAATCTATATATATTCTTTAAAAAAATCTTCGGTTTTTTTTGTGTTTCTTTCGTTCTCTCTCTCTCTCTCTCTCTCTCTTGCTCTCTCTCTCTCTCTCTCTTCTTCATCGTCTTCATTGACGCGAAAAAACTAAAATTTGCTTTTTATCCAAGACACTGTTAACTATTCAAATATATATTTATATCCATCAACTTAACAGCAGAAAAACGATCTCTGCGTTACCAACATATAGAGAACAGGTAGAATCACTTCTATGTAGCTTGAAGAACAGATATTACCTGTACAAAGAATCCAATATAATAAAAATAAAAATTTATTCTAAGAAAATTTATTATTAGAAAGTGAATTTTTTAACATAGCTAGAAGTGAGACACAATTTGTTAAACAAAGTTAAAAAAATCACTTTCTAATTTCATCAAGGTCTTGTTTCATAATTCATCTGTCAAATTTATTAGTCCTTAAGGCGCTAACAATATAACGGATATAAATAAATATTTTCCTTTAAAAACACTTTCTTTCCCTTGACACAATGAGAAAAAACATGCCATTCCTCATGATCTATATAAAGGAAGACATTAGATAATGATAAGTGAAAAAATATTTTAACAAACTACACTCACGAAACAGGTCACAAGTCGAATAGATTTATTCAGTAAAGTTTAAAATAAACGAACCTTTTGAATTAATAACTGTATGGAATTTGTTGATAGTAAGCTGAGTGATCTTTGTGTAACTCAATAAAATAGAGATTTATACATGATTTTATGAAAAAAAAGAACCAATCTTTTTTTCTTCAAATATATTGAGATTGTTTTAAAAATAAAACTTCTGCCCTACTGATCCTGTTTTGTAGAGTATATATTTTTTTGTATATAAATTCGGAAACTCGGCCCCTCGAACTCGATGCACGTTCTGAGATATTGGATTTTTATTTAATATTACTGCGAAACTGTTAACAAATGGCGTTATCGTCGATGTGTTTTAAGAAACTTTTGATATGAGTTGATGTCTTTTGTAAGTCTCAAACTCTATTATTTAAATTGTATATTCTATAGCTCATCGAGTTATTATTCCAGAAACGTAGAAGTTTGATCCACATGTAGATCTCGACTAGAAGTCGAGAAATGCTTCTAATCTTAAAAAGATTTGACGTATTTCTCAACTTCTAGTCTATATAAATTGACAGAACTTAATTTTTATGAATAGTTTTTCATGTTGAATTCGAACCCAAAAATCTGGAGACCTAGATGCGGGTCAAATTTCTACGTTCTGAAATAGTAATTCGATGAGCTATAGAATATACAATTTAAATAATAGAGTTTAAGACTCGCAAAAGACATCAGCGCATATCAAAAGTTTCTTAAAACACATCGACGATAACGCCATTTGTCAGCAGTTTCGCAGTCCCCTTTCCCCCTCCCATAATAGAAGACCAACTGGTCGTCTATTTTGTCCCGGAAGTCGACTTCTAAAGGGTGGTCTTCTATTGCAGTCAAATTTTGTCGCCTGCTAGTAGTCCAACGGTAACCTCACGTACCTGAAGCCCGTCCCCTGTTAGAAGTACGTTTTGGCGAAAGTTTTTGAAAATTTCTCTGTAGGTAGGTATAGGGCATTTTCCGTTTTTTTTTCGCGGACATAATAGAAGACCATGGTCTTCTATTTGGCTTTCAAGTCGTATAATCGGCAGTGGTCTTCTAATAGGGGATGGTCTTCTATTATGGGGGGTAATATTAAATAAAAATCCAATATCTCAGAACGTGCATCGAGTCGAGGAGCCGAGTTTCCGAATTTATACACAAAAACAAAGATACTCTACAAAGCAGGATAATTCTTATTACGGGCACCGAAGGTCGATTTAAACGTGATAGATTTCACATGGATGTATCCAATTTGATTGAGATACTTCAAAAATCTGTCTCACATATGAAAGAAATTATGCAGTTCTTGCACAAACACTTCACTTGGTTAATGATGCGTGTTCTCACAAGAAACAGAATGAAACAAGGTTCTTTTCTTAATCAAAAGACTTGCAGACCAATAACTCATAGCGTTTTAGATAAACAATATAAAAATAACGCACCAGTAAATGTGCTAAAGTGTGAGCAATAAAATTAGGACTCCCCAAGGGTTTTAGCAAGAACTATCCGTAATTTAGTGCTCAAGTTAATACTCATACGAAACGGTTTGAGTTCTCACAACTGAAAATGATCAACTAGTATTTCTGTCTAATACTTATGATGAGTACTTTGAGCAGTCAATTTGCATTTATGAGTAAAATTCACTGCTCATATGAATAATCAATACCTTTCCTGAAAGAGAACATCGCCAAAAGGTTTAGTATGGTCGATAATCTATGTTTCCATTGACTTTAAAGATTATCCGAGGTCACCTAATACCAGTCTTGAGACTCTGAGAAAAACTGATAGCAGGCCTAAAATCACAGAGGCTAAACCTGCTGATCAAGATATTGAGAGTATAACTATTGGTCGATACGGACTAGATATATATCATACGTAGCTTACTTTGTGGGAAATTCGACGGGTAATAGTAAAACATGAAGACACTCACAGACATCCACAGACATCCACAGACATCCACAGACATCCACAGACAGCCACAGACAACTACACGGACATCCATGGATGTCTGTGTGGCTGTCTGTGGCTGTCTGTGGTTGTATGCGGATGTCTGTAAGTGTCTGTAAGTGTCTGTAAGTGTCTGCGGGTGTCTGTAGGTGTCTTCATGTTTTACTATTACCCAAATTCGACGAGCTTTAAAATGATAGATGGTACAAAATGTACTTGTTTCTTTACTAGTTTAAGAACTGGAAGTATGTCGTATTTTTCCCTAGTCGGTTTCCTTCTGGTCCATTTTCTTGGACTGGTCTCACCGATCTCGAAATTCTGAACTTGCCAGTTTGTGGAAAATTTCATGAGCTCAAAGATGATATATAACAGAAAAATGTATGTCTTCCTCTTGGGGAGAAAAAGAGACCACACAAGCGAGGACTATCTACTAAACCACTTCCCATAATAGAAGGCTATCTGGTTTTCCATTTTGTCCGGCAAGTAGTATTCCAGAGGATGGTCTTCTATTGCGGTCAAATTTTATCGCCTGGTGTCAGTTTAACAGTATAAGACCATGGTCTTCTATTTAGCTTTTAAGTCATATGATCGACAGTAGTCTTCTATTTCGGGATGGTCTCCTATTGTGGGAGGAACTTTATATTGTATACGTAAGATAATCCTAAGCGTCCTACTGCTATCAAAGCAATGCTGTTAACTATTATGTCACACCCATTCTGTAGAAAATTTTAGGGGCTATCCAATGATATATTTACTTTGTCGCCTATGTGAAAGAAACATGGGAAAAATGCCTTCTACGCAACCTGTAGCCGATGTTTGAGGATGGAGCTATTGGCGAAGAACTGATGCGATTTTAGTTACCAAAAGTACGCGAAATTACTTAAAACCGACCGATAATAACGTGCACACATTGCAAAATTAAAGTAAAATGTTTTTCTTAATTTATTATATATCGTTGGATAGAGCTCATCGAGCTGATTAAGAAAATGTATTCTTTAATTTTTTAAAATATTTTTTTCATGCCGACAACTCGAAAAATCCTTCAAGTTCAAAAAATCTTTAATATCTTAGCTCTAGATTGTTTTGAAGCCTACAAACAACATTTCTCAGATTCAGAGTTGAAAACTGACTAGAAAAATAGTGTTTGATCAATTTCGAAGTTAAAAGCCTGTCGAGCATGGACGTCCACACCAGCTCTCTAAAGTGTGGGCATGCAATTTGTAAACCTATCTAGTTTTTTGTGTTAGTGGATGAAGCCGTC